AAAAAAAAAAAAAAAAAGAATCGCCAAACAACTTAATCGCTCAATTTAAAGACAAGAAAACTAAAAACTTTGTTTACCTTATATAAGACTGATCAAGGCGTAAAGGACGTAAATAATCCTTCGCTTTTATGTTCATTCCAAAGACAGATGCCTAATTTCTATTACTTTTCGGAGTATAGATTTATAAAAAAAAAAATAAATAAAGTTGATGTATAAATTTCTAAAGTACCGGAACAATAAACACTTTTTATATGTCAATAACGTTAAAAAAGGAAAAAAAAAAAAAATAATAATAATTGTAAACTCATCGGACGGATCAATATGTTATATTAATATATAATCGGTTCTTTTTCAAAAAGACAATCCACGGGCTCCGACGTACGTGTAAACTATGCTACATGTCGATGTACAAATGTAAATAAATAAATGGAAAAAAAAAAATTGTATGTTCAATGCATATCGTTTTGCATTAGAGAAACTGTATGTTCAATGTAATCGTTTTGTCCTTGTATCTGTTTTGTGTATCTTCTTTTTGTCAAAGCACACCAACACCTCCACCCATATTCGGCACAGCAAGGAGCATCAAAGGGAGAACCTCTGAGATAGCGGGAGACTTCAAGAATCAACGGATTACCTCAATACTCTTGTATAACCTGGCATATACATTACAGTATTACTGCCAACAATCTTGGACTACAGGGTCCATAAAGCCACGAAAAAAAAAAAAAAAGAAAACGATAGGGAGAATACGAAACTGCTCATAGCAATCGGAAATGTTGCGGATGCAGATGCGAATTTTGAAGGCTCACATATGCCTTTTCTGGCTTAAGTCTGTTTCGCAGAGTTTCGTAACTAGTCCAATTACATAGAAAAAATTCAACAAAAAAAAAAATATTTCGGAAATCTATCATCAAATTTTTTTCGAAATAACGGAATGACGAAAAAACTGTATCATTCAGTGCACCCTACAAATTTGCAACCCTGTGTACTGTTTCTTTCCAAACCTGTGTTTGTTATGTTTTTGCGGCAGATGACGCCCTTCGCCACTTTCATGCATTACGAAAGGAAACCAATTGTACGACGGATGGAGTACAAAGAGATACGGAAATGTATGTATTCGTTGAGTGCTTGAAAAATTTCTTCCAGTTATATTTTTGCCCGTGGAATCGACATCGCTTAAATTTCGTAGTGTGCAGTGAAAGTGTTTAATTTATTGATAAAACCGAATTAAAGGTTAAATGAAATGTGAATTTAAGGTTAAATGAAATGCGAAATCTATCAAATGTTGGTATAGAGTGCAAAAAGTTCGTTTTAAAAAGCAAGAGGTAACCTGTTGCTCAGCAGCCGGTGAAAGCGTAAATCAGGCATGCACAGTGCTGTCGGTAATCCACGCCGGTGGTGTTTCGTGTCTATCTGTATATCTTTAATACATATGTACGCATGTATATAAATGTGTGAAAATATCGGTTGTATTTATGCATTCAATAATATTTGCATATATAGTGTAATAATCGTATATAAAACGTGCTGTTGAGAAAATTAAAAAAAATGTGCTGCAATTTTATAATCTCTTCGGTAGTTTGTGTAAATCGTTTTCGGGTTTTCAAGCGCCATTTGATGTAGTGTGTTCGGTCGTTCGTACAGAGTTCGGTTAATCGCGTCAGTAATGTGAAAAAATTGTATCGCACAAAATTGTGTTAACAAAATTGGTCAATATGGCGGTTTTCGCAAACACATTGAAAGGTGAGTGAGTACCTTAGTATTCTTTGTTAAGAAATTATTATTATGTGCCTGCACAGATTATTTAAATTCTTAAATTATTTTTTTAATCGGTTGCATTTAGCTTCCGCTGTATGGGTCAAATCTGGTAAGTAAAAAAAAAATAATAATTAGGAATTAAAGGGATATGAGCCTGCATAACAGGTAAATGGCGTAGAATCAATGTATTTTTACAGTTTTGGGCGTTTTGATAAAGTATAGATCCAATTAAAAAATTTACTCAGCAGGTAAGAGATTAAAATATTCTACGAAAGTTTTTAAAAAAAAAATTAAATGGGATCCTATCCGAGATTATAAGATTTTTTACTTTTTAAAGAAGCCTTTCTAAATTTCTTTTGTGATGCTTTTACCAGAAATATGTACGTAACAGTGCCCTGAGCGCCCAATCACAGATGAAATTGATTTTCGGGGTTATTCTGAATTCGAAAACAACTGTTCCAATTAGATATGTAAAAAATTTCAATCGGCCATAAATTCCATTATAATGGTTAAACGTGATCAAAAAACTAAAAATCCAAAATAACGAGTATTTTTTATCGAACGATTAGATTTGTTTCGAAAAAATAAAAATCCAAATTTAACGATTATTCTTAACCGGAAAAATAAAAATCAAAAAGTAACGATTTTGCAATGCTGAAAAAACAAAAAACCTTGATATTTACCGCTTATCTTCGGTCCTTGTTAAAAACAACAGGCCCATGGATTTAATAAAAAAAATATCCATTTCGTTAAATTCTAAATTATTTAATGATCTTATGTGTTTTTGTAGTAAAAGCTTAAGAGAAACTTCGGTACCATCAACTTACATTCCGCTTCCTCTGAATATGTAGTGCATTTTTTTTATTTTTTGTCTTCCAACGGTAAATATACGGATCCCGGCTTAGGCGGCCGTTTTTCTGATATCCGACTAAAAAAGATTCTATTTAAAAATATAGTTCAGATTTTTTTTTTGTATTTTTATAATCAAATTTAATAGTATCTAATTAGTAGTAAGAGTTAAAAGTTTATATATTTTTCATTATGAAAAGAAGCATTGAAACAAAGAAAGAGGTGTAAACAAATTTGGAAATTCTTAGCGACTATGCTTCCACGAAATTAAGGGATCTTCTTGTTTGGGTATAAATGGTAGCTGTACGGGGTGTAAAATAAAAACTGACGCACAGGTTTTTTTCATGAAAAATAAAAGGGTTCTTTATAGATTTTGCGAAAAAAAGTATTATATTGTTAATTTTCCACAGGTTTTACTTTAATTCTATTAATTAGTTTTTAAATTTTAACCTTTTAACGCAAGTCTTAGTCGATTAATTTACTCCATTATTTGTGTAACCATTGGCTAATTTTCTCCATTTGGAGTCCTTCATACTTGCCTTTCGTCCAACATAAGGCCTAATACTCAGCAATCGAATAAACTCGGAACTGGTGACCAAAAGAATATTAATCACAGTTTCAAAATTTATACAAAATTTAGAAAAATTCAACAAATTTTTATCGAAATCTAATATTTTTAATCTGATTCTTTAGAACATTTTTGGGTATGCAGTTTTAAAGCCATTAAAATTCTAGTCTAATTAAGTGCAAGTTTCTGCCGACTAAAAAATCGCGTTGATTTTTGAGAATTTTCTAAATATTCAGATTAAAAAGTTGAAATTTGATGAAAATTTGTTGAATTTTTTTAAAGTATAAAAAAGTTTGAAACTGTGATTTATATGGTTTTGGTTAAAGCTTGGACGGTATATTTTATAGAAAAATAACAGGTTAAAGCTTGGACGGTATATTTTATAGAACAATAACAAACAAAAAAATTTAGCTCGAAAAACATTACGAATATTTAAATATTTTCATTTGTTTGAGTCACTACTGTAGGTACATATTTACGAATTGTAAGCAGGGTTGCCACTGACGAAAAAAAAGGCAATCAAAAGTTCCTCATAATTCCAGTAAAATTAGTTTTGAGTGGAGCACGATATGTTCGCCTCGAAAATGAATGCAATAAAGTAGACTACACCTTTGGAAAGAAATTTATAATATATAGATAACTACGAAAAATGAAGCGGTAAATGAAAGCTTTGCTTGTTTTTCAGACAAAATACACTAACAAAAATTTACCAAAATGAAAAGGATTTACCATTATACCAAACCAAATTTCAAGCTCGAGTAGAAAAGATCGAGGTTTTATAATTGTTTCTTAAATGCATATTTAGTATACACAATACCAAAAAAAATTGAGATATTTAAGGATTTATAGACCAATGATCCCAGTCTTGTATTTCATTATATAATATTAAGCCCGGGCTTTGCGTACTGATTACTTGTGAAGCTGCCAAAAGTATATAATTCCGATCTAATTCACCTTCCTTCACACCGCAAGCCAAAAGCTTCTTGGCGGCATTCAAAGCTGAGCGCGATGGCAACTTTTCTAAAAATAGAAAGATTTGAGAATCATTTGGGCAATTACTTAAAGTAAGGATAACATACCTGCATAGTTGCCGATAAAAGCAATACCTGTGCCATTCATATTGTAGCCATAGGTGTGTGCACCGCGCACGCCCCAACCAGTGCCCTCATAAATGACGCCATCTTTGCCGATGAGGAAACTGCAAAAAACAAAAACAAGGAAAATAAATGATTGATCGCTTCTATATAAGTATTTTGTTTTAACTGAAAAAGTGTAGCAAAAACGTTAATATTTGATGTAGTAGCAAACTTTCACTGGGTTTACCCAATTCAGATTCGTTCAGTGATAATAAGTGCAGCCGCGCAAATTGTGGGGCGTAACCATAAATGAAAACAAAATGCGAACAATTTCCAATTCACTTACTTATAACCGATGTCATCGTATTTTAAATCATTCATGTGATAAATTTGTGTACTCTGTAAAATCGATGCACATTTCAGAAACTGATCACACTCATCCGAAACTGTGTGATGAATGATTACATAGCGAATTGGCGGCACTTGGTAAGTTATTGCAGTAGCCGGTTTACCACCCCACTGACGTTTTAACTTAATACGCGGACAATCGTTTTTGCCGGTCGAAACCTCACTTAGGTAACATAACAGGGCAAGTAGAACAAACAAAGGAATGTTTCGCATTTTAAGACTCTTTCCTTTTATATTGTATCTGCTTCTGCGTACAAAAAAAAATCTCTACCGATCCACCGCGTTAGAATGCCTTTCTGCAACTGATCGCTACACTCGCACTTGGAGCTTTGTTTTATTATCAACAGCGGTAATGCGCGCTGAACCTGGCTCATCAAATATTCTTGATTGTACTCATTCGAGCTCATCACTCTCTTGCTACCAAGAAAAAATTTCGAGCTTTTGCATGTGTACACATGTATGTATTTTCACATTTGTACATAAGTACATACAGGGTGGGCTAAATAAAACCTACCAATGTTAAAAAAGTTACGGGCTCCACCAACGTAACGGTAATTTCAAAAAACTCAAAGCTAGCTATATTTTAGGGAGAGTAGGTTTTGTTCCATTTCAAAAATTTTGAAGACTGTACTTAAGGACACTAAGCACAATGTGTATAACAAATTTGGTCGAGATCGGTCAAGTAGTTTTTGAGATACGCATATACATATATATAAGTGGGCGGTGGCACAGCCATTTTCCTAAAATTTCTTGAACCCCCCCCCCCCCCCTTTTTGCTAAAGAGCGATTGTATATATCAATTTTGAATAAATATTGATGAACTCCTTAGCCACACTGCTCAAAAAATCTGAGATTCCGGTACATACACACATATAAATTCAAAGCCCTTTTTAAGAAAAGTCGCCTAACTTCGACAATTTTTATGCGATAGCAATAAGTGGGCTATGAGTTTATTTAAAACTAGATTTAATTTTAGATAGTAGTCGATATTTTGAAATTGTAGAAATTATCGATGGTCAAATTTTAAAAAATTAAGAGAAATATGTATTGGTCTTTTTTAATTTATTAGATAAAAAATCCCATCAAGCCGACAATAGATTATTATAAACCATTTTAAAGGCCTATATATCCTCTTCACAGATCATATTCGATCTTTGAAATCGAATCAAAAATAGTCATTCAAAACACATAAATCTACAAAATCCTATTTTCTGACCTAAATCGAATGACCTTTAAAAAATCTATAAAAATATAAAAATAGGCAATAATATTTCTTATAAAAACGAATCAAATTAGGGGGTAGGGTCTCGAAATTTCCAAAAATAACATTTTCGATGGGCACCCTAATGTACATACATATACGCATATCTACATTTAACATGTACCAGCGTTTTTGCAAATTTTGTTTGCTTTGAAACGTCACAAGTGGAAACCTGTTTCGATGATCGATCATTTTGATTCTACCGCCTACCGGTAAATACTACATATTTGTACATATACATATTTAAATAAATAAGAGTTAGTAGTCGTATTATCGAGCATTAAATTATTTCTTAATACGCAATGTAATACTCACACCGCTCATTTACTTCAATAGTGGCATAACTCAAAAATAAAAAATAAATCGAGAAAAACGGTTTTAAAGTTTTGAATTTACATATAAACTATACAAAAATTTGGACCAAAAAAAAGAAACATTCATTTATACATACATATGTAAATATGTAGAGTAAAAAGTTCCTAGGTCCCAATTTAAAAATTGTACAGGAGAGGAAAAAACTTCTTATAGCCATTTTCTTCAAGTAAGTATAGTTCGCAAAAAGTTAGTTGCTACATAACAAGAAACAAATTAATTTTTCTGAGGTAATTGGTTAAGCTATGCCGTACTGTGAATTGATCAAATGTGCATGTATGTACATACATATATGTATACATCTGTACGTACATATATGTATACAATTTCTTTTCTTATGCCTTAATGCACTTTAAACCAGTTAACAGTATCTATCTTGAAGTTATAAAAAATACTGTTCGCCATAACGATCATAAATTATTTAGAGATTTCGGTACTTTCCCCGCTCAGTAAAATTCAATTAACTCAAATCAACCAAAAACAATCAGAACATTTGCCATGTGGAGTATTAAAAAAAATGCCCGGAACAAGTTTATCATTCAAGCTACATATGTATGTACATACATAAGTATTTCAAATAAAGTTTGTGACGTATTAAACGTATCATACACTACATGTCATTATTCGTTGTCATATATATTTATATATATTTTTTTAATCTGTGCTTATATATGTAATCGTAGAAACTTCCTTATAATCTCAATTGGAATAATAACACGAACCGAGAGAATTAAGCGAAAATATTTATTTAACCGGAGTACACTTTTCCAGAGGTTCTCGACGCACAGTGTATTATTTCCATATTCTAGAAAATATTAATTAAATTATTTTATATCGCCAAATTTTAAAACGACGTCAAAAATGTTTTCAGAAATGCCTGATAAAGACGAAGCAATAACAACTACAAAATTTAAATCAAAGTGTAGGGCGGCACGGGATTTGATTTGGAAGATTACCAAGCGTAAGAATATTTAAACTTTTATATTTGAAACTGAATCCCAATTTCAATTTTTTGGTATTATGTGATCTATGCAACAATTGCATATTCGATCTTATTTTTTTTTAGATAAGTTCTTTTTAATGAATATATATACATACATATTAGTAAACTAGGACTGTGTATTTCTTGTTAAAGTAAAACGATGTTAACTTAAATTTAATATTGGCAATTTATTAATTTCATTAGACGCGCAAACTCGTTATCCGCGATTATTCGATAAAGTTTGTATCTCAGTTTATTTGCCACTCCTCTTAGACTTTAAACAACACAACTTTAGCTGCTGGAAAGTGCTGGTTTTGATGAAATTTTCTTTTTTCATGCCTACTTGGAATTTTACTTTCTTCGAGTAATTCACTTGCATTTGATCTCGAACGAGAAAAAAATTTGTATTTACGCCTTTGGACTGAGAAAGCTTGATTTCTTACCTTTCCAATGGTACCCCATTTTTGTAAATAGAGCGAGAAATATTGAATTTATAACGGAATTTTTTTGACCCAACTTGACTTTTTTCTCGATATTTGCCACGCCCATAGTTCAAAAAAAAATATTTTTAAGTCCCTTTTTGTCAGTTTACAATTCCTTGTTATAAGGAAATTTTAAGTATCAATTTTGGGCATTTTTAAATACTTCAGCTTACCTTTCTGGAAGCTGGCTTTAGTATAATGTGGCATTCCCTTTATTCTTTAAACGACAAGGAATTTTTTGACGAGATTTAATAAGAATACATATTGACTTGCTAGTATCGAAACTATTTCTTGCACGTTTATTTGCCAAAAGTTCTTTAACGGCTCGGCACCAGTGAGTCATTCGCGATCGTATGCTGCGAATTCCGCATTATACTAAAGCCAGCATTTCGACATAAGCCACTATTTCATACGAACACAGATATGTATGTATGGAAAAATCGCATTTATGGTCCGAATATTTTTAGGACACGTGTTACAGATATATATACATACAGTATATTTTGCTTTGCTGCCTTTATGCTTAAGTGCACCTTTAAGATACCTACCCCAAAATGCGCATCAGAGGCGTTATTTGTAACATTTGTAAGGAAACTGCTCCGATAGATGCATTCAACATACCTGCACATTGGCGATACCTGCCTTAAAAATTGTGCAACTAGTATCAATTATCAAAGAAAGTATTACGTTTACCTGCACTGGCCCTACAATTACCTAATTTTACAAGCTTTTATTTATTTTGCTCATCTCGCAGAACAACGAAAATGGCTATCAATTTATGTAGTTATATAGATAATTAGATACCATTCGGTAAAAATTTCGCTTGCAGTAATTTCTACGTGGTAAGTGCTCCTCCATTACTTGGTTTCATAGGGATTCGGGTACCTTCCTCATTGAAGTAGTAAAGAAAATTCGCTTAAGTACCTTTTTCGGTTAAGTGCACAAGTTTTTCGTACAAAGAAGCAAAATATACTGTACATATATAAAAAAAATCAACCTACCAAGAATGAACGGGCTAGGTACAACCAATATCAACAAAGAGTTTTGACCATCACTGTATGTAGTAAGGGCATGTAATCTCTTTATGTTAATGGAGTAATATACATATGTATGTATATTTATAAACCAATATAAATAGTTTTACAAATATTATGTACAATAAATTCCAAAACCAACCTAAATATACATATATATGTACATATGTAAAAATAAGTTTGAAATTCGAAATTCAATGTTTGCAATCCTGGAATATAAATTTTGGAATCATTGGAAATTGTTTACGTTGAAGTCCTACGCAGCGACACCTGTTCATCAATTGGTTATAATAATAGCATTGGCAACTGTAATGCGCGCGCCGTATGGTGTGTCCTGTGCAACATCCCTTGCACTTTTTCAAACAACAACAAAAGAGACACGCACTCACTTTTAGGCTCATAGACCTTTCAACGCCTTCGTACATTCGGTCACACATGCGCATTTACCTTTTCCACGACTATTAAACGCTTCATTGAGCGCCGCCAAAGATATGTACATATGTACAAAGACATGTACATTAGGATGGCTCTTAGTTTTTGATTTTAATTTATGAGTGATACGTCTCAGTTTAGTCCATTTGCATAAAAAAAATGTTTTCTTCTTCGACCCATTAAAATTAAACAAAAACAAAATATCTCTTTTTTTATTCCACTTGAGGAATTAAATGAAATAAAAAAAAATGTAAAGGAAACTTTAAAATGCTTTGTGTTTGTAACTATCCCTTTATAAAGATGCGAAAGTGTACTTTGAAATATTTATTCTTGAAATCCTTGTGGATATCATAAATTTTTGTAGCAAATTGATATATATATATTTTTGGCTTTGATTCAAAATTTTCTTATATACTTTGCTTTTTTTTTAAGAGAAAAAGTATTGCTCATACAAGTTTGTACTTTGAATATTCCCTCTTCTCGGCGAAATAAATCGCTATGTTTCCCGACTGTGTTCAATACCTGGAATATATAAATCCAGCAATTCATTTTTTGCTAAAACTTTTTATTGACCTCTGAACTGGACTGAATTCTGAAGAGGTAACTTTCCTTGTATTGGTACAAAGCTGAAGGGTAAAGTATAAAAAAGCCCTTATAAGGGCCACCCTAATGTATATACAAACATATTTTAATATTTGAGATGAAATGATAAATTGGTTAGCACACCGGTCGGCTTAACACCCTGTATAAGCATTAGGACAAGTACATTCAGCGAAATTCGAACAGTTAGTTACTCGCAATTGATTATAGCCAAAGAGCGACCAACCAGAACGCATGCGGTGCAACTCGTGCTAACAACTAGATACATATGTACGGTTTTATGTATGTACATTAGGGGGCCTCACTAAAAAAAAAGTTGCGAATTTTACACTGGAATTAAAAAATTTAATAGATCTCAAGAAATCTACTTTTCTATAAATAAAATTAATTTATTTGTGTTTTGTTATTTTTTTTTGTCTAATAACGATTGTATTCAACAATTATTATTGAGCTTGAGGCCGTATTTAATGAAAAAAGGTTGTGAAAAAAAAACAATAATTTACATTTGGTAAAAGTATAGCTGCTATTTTGAAGGTCACCACATCTCCTCATCAGACTTCTTCAACCGCGTTCACTGGGGAAATGTAATCCGAAGTCGCTAGTTCATATCCCAGTGCTCGCTATAACATTTACCAAATGTAAATTATTGTTGTTTTTCTGCAATATTTTTTCATTAAATACGGCCTCAAGCTCAATAAAAATTGTTGAATATAATAAAATTAATTTAAAAAAAAATCTAAAAATCACCTTTGATGATAGAAGAGTTGAAGCTTAAAAGTCGTGCATAAACATGTTTGAACATTTTGTTAACGGAATCAAAATAATGAAATTTTTTTAGGTTTTTCAAATCGCTCATTCAAAGCTGGACACACGTAAATGTTAATATTTTTCCAAAATATTTTGTCGAAAATTTTAAAATATAACCTAATGTACATACATACATACATACGTGCTGTGTGCTATGGGCCATTGGAAGGCGAAAAATTAGAGCCTAAAATCGAAAATGACTAACAAAAATTGCCACATTCTTCGTTGTCAATTTGTACTATGCATGACTGCGCAAGGGTAATGAGTATTCCAACTCCTATCCTGCGATGTAAGACGAGAGTTCGAAATTGCACAGCTGACATCCGGACGCTCAGTTGGAGTTGAGCTAGCGCATCGAAATGTACGTTGCAGTGGAAGCAATGCATTCGGGCGCATATTTGAAAATTTTTGAATAAAAAAAAACAAATACTTTTGTGTCTACGGAAAAAAAATAAAATAAATACATATTTTTAAATGTATAAATGAATACGTTTTCGAAATCTTGCAATTTAATTACATAAGAAACCTTAGAATTAAACTTAGCAAAAATCCAAAGGAAATAAGTTCTAAAAACTTCAAAAAAATATTCCATAAAATGCTCAAATGGTGATTAGTTTCTTAATTTAAAAAAAAAAATTAAAAAAATACGAGTTAAAAAGGAAGTTTTCAAATGTTTATATATACATAAATATATTTGTCAAGTGCATAAACGTTCAAAATCGCCGAACATGATTAATTTGCCCGCACCGCCCAGCGGCCACTCGCCGAATTCCTTATCCGCTACTACGCCCGCGGACTGCATAACCGAATCTTCACCGCACTGTGAATATAATTTTCTAAAACGAAAATTCGAAGGCGATACTAGTCCCACTGGCAACAACGTCAATGCTAATGTCACAGGAAATCACACAGCTGAATATCAGAATGCTTCGTGCACAACGCCCGTCTGGAAGAAGCGGCACATGCAGGAATCCAGTGACACCATAACCGAATCCAACTGTTTCACGACTCCGGTCGCCAACTATAACAGCTATTCATCTACAAACAACAATGATAACTTGCTCATAGACGCGATACAAACAGAAAATCTACAGAATGATATAAGCATTAGCCCAAGTGCCACACTTACAACAAATAACAACAGTGCAATCATCAACAACAACAATAGTATCATTGCAGATAACGAAGCTATTAACAATAATAATAATAATAATAATAATAGCAACAACAATAGCAATATGACATTCAATCTCATAACCGGCAACAGTTCCTTCATTAATGATCTCTTCGCCTACGATGCCAATTTAATTGTGCCAGTTACAGCCAGTCTGGTAAGTCATAGCACCAATGGCGCTGATTCCCAATTGCCAGCCTTTGCTGCACCATCAAATGTTTGTGTGAATACCAACTACGATGATGGTAGCAATTGGCAAGCAAGCGATCTGCTCGAACTCGATCATCGTTATAATTCGGGTTTGCAAACCGAAATCGCACATCTACATCCGACGCTGCCGCTAAAGGCGACAGAGATAACCACACTCAATGCCGTACAACAAAGTCAAGAGGTCACGCATCAACAGCCGCAGCAGCAGCAGCAACAACAGCAGCAGGCACAATCATCCTCTCCAACACAGTTTTTAGTTCCTGAGAAGCAAGTGTCAAGATCACCAGTAAATAGTGCAAACCCTAACAGGTATCGTCAACAACAAACACTGCAACAGTCTATCAATCAGGCGCTTCCACAAATTCCACAGTCTATGCCACAAACCTCAACGGCTGCCGATACGGAGGCGGATTTTGAGGATAAGAACCTTTCTTGGTTGTTAAATTTTAAATTTGATGAATTTCCTCATCTTTCGCCGGACTTGGGTGCAAATAGTAATAACCATGTGAATACGAATGTATTAAATGCCGGCGTACAACAAGGCAATAGTATTTCCTCTCCTAGTTCATTTCACAAATCGAACTCTTGCTCGCCACAATCATCGTTTTCGGCAGCGACACCACTTTCGAGCATGCAGCAGCCGTTTAGTGACTACACGCGTTCTCCGAAAAGTTCAACAAAGGCTGGTAAAAAGTTTGAGGAACTTGTTATGGAGGTGACCGCAGAGGTGGATGGTGCCGATATGGTAGTCGCTGAAAATGTGGTTGTCGAGAACTCGCCGCAAAGAGCGTAAGTTTTGAGGATATTTAATCTTTTTGTGTTTTGAATGAAACGACAATAAGTGCCATGGACCTAACTCAGTCAGTTTGTAAACTTAGATTCGCCAAAAAGTCTTTGAGTGAAATACTACAGCTACTCGTATCAGAACTCTAAACAAGTTTCTATATTAATTAGTGCTCTTAGCTTAGAAGATCTTGAAATATTTTTGGTCTCAAGATTCGTGTGTTGTTATGTATCGGAATCCGAACAATGAATATCTTTTATTCTTCTTATTTGCCACTACAACCGTTTGTCAGTTGCCTCTCTCCTTTGCAGATTTGCGCTAGTTGTTCATCCCGAGTGCGGAGAGGTCGTTCTGCACTTGGTTCTTCTTGGTTATTCTTGGGCTTAACTATGTTCATGTCGTTAAAAAGCTCGTACAGAATTGCTTTTATGTTCATTTAAAAGTAACGGGTTTACGATTAAATCGGATTAGATAAAAGATCGTAAAGAAAATCAAAAATCTGTATCTTAAAGAGTCGCATTGCTTCGATTATTCCTTTAAGGATACATTAGGACGTCCCAATTTTATTGCAATGCATCAAATAATTGCTGGTCAAAAAATTACGCATCAGATTCTTAAGCGCTGCGAGAAAACCAACATCAAAACATTCCTATTATATTCCCGTATTCAATTAGAGGTGGAATGAAAGTTTGCAGATATTTCTTCCTAACAAAACAAAGAAGTCGTGGGTCAAACCATGTCAAATCGACCAATGATTGGAATCGACCATTTTTGATTTGAATGAATTTTGGTCAGAACTTTTCTTTTATCATATAATGAAGTTCTAGCAAAGGGGGGAAAAATTAAAAAAGTTATGCAAAATTCTAATGTTCACAATTTCCGGCACTCGCAAAATTAATTTTTGAATATTACAAAAACTATTATAGCTTTAAAAATGGTTGTGGTCTCGGTTCAAAGGTGATATTTAGCGCTACAAAGAAACAATACTAAAAAAACTCAAAAATGTGCAGAATTTTCAAGTAAAAAAATCTTTAAAGCAAAAAAAAAACAAAGTTATGTTAAACAATTTTTATTGAATTTAAATACAAATATTTTTAAATGGTATGCATGCAATAAATTTCTTTTTTTAAAGTTCAAAAACTCGTATCTTAAACGAAATCTTTAAAATTGCAGAATGTTTTAAGCTTAGTTAGAGGTATTCACAATTCTGTAACTTTTTTATTTTTCGAATTTTTTTAAATAAGTATATTTTTTAATATTGCCCCAAATATCACCTCTAAAAGGATTTTTTGAGATATTCATATATCTTGGGACATGTCTATCGCTGATTCCTCTTTTGATCGGTCTTACGGATTGTATATCGGCACCTGATCGGAACGAGAATCAAAAATTTTGTACGCCCAAGTATGATAGACATTTTATTTTATTTTGTTATATATTGTTTATAAAAGAGTTATATTTTTAGAAATCAAATGTTTTCAGTCATATGTTTTTGAGAAAAATACTCCGTAGTAATTTTAACATTTCAAAATTACATTTCTCGACTGAAAAATAAAATATTCGAGCTAACTCGACGGCACACAGTGGGCTTTTTAAACACTTCATGCCAATTAATCGTAGCGCTTTCGACAGAAGCAATATTTTGATATGAAACAAAATGGCTTTAAAAGCTTATGTAGTTGCCTTTCAAGGAAAAATATTGCCATTGAGCCACAATAACTCCTTGACCTTAAAAGAATTGGTCAAAAATAGTGTTCTTCGAAAAAAAAACATACATAATCCAACGGATATATTAAAAAAAAAAAAATTTTTTTGTACTTTTTATTATACTAATATATAGATTTTGAGACGAGAAACACGATTCCACTGTTTAAAAAACGAAAAAAAAAAATCAACCCCTCAATTTGAAAAATGTATTATATATTGTATTTTTTATGATTTGCATGCAGCTGTGCATCCTTTACACAATTTTATATCCCTCAAATAACAAGTCAGTTTTAGTGCTATTCAAGACCTTTAATTTAAGCCAAGGTAGAAATCTCTAGGCCCTTTGAGAGCTAAATTGTTACAATTCTGAAAATTCATTCGACATTTTACGCACTTTTTTTCTAATTTCGGAGTAAAAACACAGCAGTTTCGAAGTTTGGTTTAAAATTGTTATAACTTGGCTCTTAAAAGGCCTAAAGTCTTTGGCTCAAATTAAAGGTCTTGAATTGCACTTATTGTTCGTGGGATATAAAATTGAGTGAAGGATGCACAGCTGCATGCAAATAGAAAAAAAAATTCAATAAACAATGCATTTTTAAAATTAAGGTGCTAACATTTTTTTTTCAAATTTTGAACAGTGCAATCGTGTTGCTCGTCTGAAAATCTATAATACTAGTATAATAAAAAATACATCGTTTTTTTTTTGTTTTGGAATAAATCCCGTGGATTTTGCATGTTTTTTTTTCAAAGAACACTACTTTCGAAAAATTTTTTTAAGGTGAAGGGGTAATTGTGGCTCAATGGCAATATTTTTTCGTGAAAGGGATTTACTTTAGCTTTCAAAACCATTTTGTTTCGTATCAAATGCTGCGAAAGGGCTACTAAATAAGAAGGTCTTGCTTTTTTTCGAAAACGGACTTTATATACGCGACACATGAATTCATGTTCGATTTTGGTCATTTGAAATACATACATATGCAAGTATATTTCTATTACTGCATTTCCTCTTTTTCAAACTTTTTTTTAGTGGCAAAAGTAGATAAATTCAGTTTACATACTTACCTACATATATGCATATAAGTACACTGCCGGAACAAAGTATTGGCACAGCAAATTTTTCACAATATATGCAACAATTTTTATTCTAATATTTCTCCGCCAATTTTATATAAGAATAAGGTTCATTCTACAACAAAAAACATAAAAATATAATTCCTAAACTTTATGCAAAACTCGCGAAAATTCAGCATATTTTGATCAAAATTTTCAACTTTTTAATCAGATTTTTTACAATTTTGTTGAGCATGCAGCCCATTAAATTCTAGTAAAAAATGCAAGTTCGGAGTTAGTAAAAAATCGCGTTGATTTTTGAGAATTTTTTTCGTTGAAGATGTTTTGCATTTTTTCCATATAAAGTATTTTCGAAACAAATTTTTTGTATGGAAGAGACTGCGTGAAAAAAATTTCCAAAAATCAACGGTAATTCCTAGCTACTTAAAATGATTGGGCTACAAATCTGCATACTCAAAAAAAATCTAAAAAATCTGATTAAAAAGTTGAAAACTTTCATGAAAATTTGCCGAATTTTCTCGAGTTTTGCACAAAGTTTAGGAATTAAGTATATTTTTATGTTTTTTGTTGTAGAATGAACCATATTTTTATACGAAATCGGATCGGAAACGGACAAATATTAGAATGAAAATTGTTGCATATATTGTGAAAAATTTGCTGTGCCAATACTTTGTTCCGGCAGTGTATATGTACTTAAATACTTCTTTACTATTCAAAAGTATTAGTACAAAATGGAGCAAGAAAAAATTAACCCCAAATTGTATTTATTTTCTACTATGTATTGTATTTTATTACATGAATTTTGCTGCGCCATATTTTAACCACCAACAATGCGACGTCATATTCGTACATGTGTACAACTCTCACCACAAACGCTCCAACCCACACACGCCACCATGGATTTGCCGCCACAAAATCAGGCCAAAGAAACCACCATTTACGTATACAGAACTCATCGAATACGCCCTCGAAGATAAGGGTGAACTAACGGTTTCTGGAATATATCAATGGATATCGTAAGTACAATTCTACATATTTATGTATGTGCACACCTACGTAAATATTTAGCAAATAAATCTTTTTAATACATACATACAATAATATCATACAAGCAAACATTAATAGCAAGCAATGAATGAGCTATGGCGCCATTTTGTGTGAATTGTTTGAATTGTTTTAATATTAAAGAGATGGTATGAGGGTAGTTAAAATATTTAGAAAACAAAAATGTAACGGATGTAATTAAACAAATCGAAAGTATGTATTTATTTACGTTAGAGTGGCAAAAGTATGCGCAAGTTTGAAACAGCGAAAAGGTTAAGGAATTTTCGGTAGCAGAAAAGTTTTTGCACTCAGCGAATAACATACGTGCACACATATGTACATATGTACTTATGTACGTAATTATATTCTCGTAGATACATACGTGTAGAAAATCACTCAGGCTAGTTATAGTTAAATGAGCGATATGCCATCAGTGTTGCACGTTTTTAGGTTTTCTCTACTAAAATTTGTAGATTTTTACCTTGCTCACACATACTACTTACATAGGTGGCGACTAACTAAAAATATCCTAAAACACTCCATTGGAAGCTACAATGTTTCTTTTTACAGCTTTTTCTTCTAAACTTAACCCTTTGTGAAACTTTAAACGAGCGAAGGCAAAAAGCGGATCTTTTTTTTAAATTAGTCTTGTACCTATTATCCTTTTCTATCCTTTTTTTGAAGCCTTATTTATTTAACCCTGCTTTGATAACCTACGCCTGTGAGGCGTATGATTTTTAAACGTTTCGCTCCATTTTTCGCGAGATGAAGATTGAAATCGGTGGTGTATTTCTATTTTAAATGGAAAATATTTATAAATAAATAAATAATAAATAAATATCCAAAGAGTTCATTTCTTTGAAATAATTTTTCATACAATTTTTATTACCATAAAAATAAGGCAAACAAACCATTATACGTCCCACAGACGTATGGTTATCTATTCAGCAACTTTCAGTAGAGTAATCTTTCTAGGGTTAATCATTTGCGGCCGCTGTGGTGTATTGGTTAGCAGTGCGCGCTACAATTTGGCAGGGCCTGGGTTCAAGCCCAGTTCAATCCAACATCAAAAAATAAATAAAAAAAAAACAGAAAAGTGGTTTTCTAAAAGCTTCTCATAAAAATACTGAATAACTCAGTGAGAGGGGAGACCAGTATGTTTGCATTTATGTATAAAATTTATTTATGTATAAATATTTATTCTATCAAAAAAGTTGGGTAGGCACTGTGGTGAACGGTAAAGACCGTGCAGAGTCCGCAAAATGCTTCGGAAGCAGTTCCCGGAGTACCAGGCCAGGCATATTTTGAAGTGCCATCAAAATAAAACTTAAGAAAGTTTTATTACATGGCAGCTGAGAAGTGCATGTGCAAAAATTTCATAAATTGCATAAAAGAAATTTTTACACATGCAGCAGTACACACCCTGGAGTACGAGGGAGCGACTACAGGACTGGTGAATCGGTATCTACCAAGTAAACTCCGTCGATTATCGATCGACTACTTGCCGTGTATTTCAGCGATTACTTTTGCAAGGCAATGTCCTTGGCGGTGGTCACCATCGGCTCTCTCTGCACTAGTAGGAGTTACTAAAGTAGTTACTTGCGTAATTTATGTACGCCCTGTTTCGTAGTTCATCGCAATTCTGCTTGCGATTGGTTCGACTCTGCACTATCCTGTGCACTACCACTGGTTAATGGAGTTAGCTATTTCCCTAGATTTCGGTGCAGTAGCGGTCCAAAAGTGGCGATTGACTCCAGCCGTACTAGAGGGTAGCATGCATTTAAGCGCCCGGTACTAGTCTAAACAAATACAATCGCTGCTCGGAGTCGGCATAAAACTGTAGGTCCTTCACCTTTGTGTGACAACATCGAGGCACACGCCACAAATCGGAGGAGAAGCTCGGCCAAACACTAACAGATGTGTAAGCGCCAATCTGTTATTATTATTATAATTATCTAAGCGTTTATTATGCCTTTGTTGTGGTTTATTGGGACCCTTTTTAATGAATTAAAAGTTTTTTTTATGATTACGTTTTATTTGAAATTTTTATCATAATAATGGGTACAAAAAATGGGCCTACCCTAGAACCGGTTTTGCCAGTACTTTAGTATTCTTTGACATTAAGGTTAAGGTTCATTTTCTTTAGACGCGCAGGGCAATTGAATCATAAATTTGTAAACGATGCCACTATTGCCTAGACTTGCCAGGCCCCACACTTATAGAAACTATTCCTAACAATGACTGGAACTGATAAATTTATTAATGGTTGTTGATAAAATTTAAACCCTTATTGTTATCCCACTTAGTTCGATTGGGTCAACAAATAAAGGCTTCACTAGAATTCTCAGAGTAATCCACCACAGTACTGGGCAATCTAAAAGAAGAAGGGTCTCTGTTTCACAAGCAATTTAAATGGAAGATGAGATTTATTTTCTGTCACTTCCCATATAAAATTCAAAAAATTAAAATCATTTTTCACTTAAATTTCTTGCGTGAATTTGACTGTAAGTCTTACAAGCTAATTAAAAAATAAAGCAATACCATCGAGGGCTTATGCTTAATATGTATGTATAGAAATACAATACTTTATGTATTAAATTCTATGGTATAGGTTGGTTATTTTTAGGACTTTTGTGAAGTTGGGGAAGATGGATGGGTTTGTGTTGCTGAAGACTTCTCTTCTGCGGGTGAAGTATATTGGGCAATGCGGGAGGATATGGGGTATGGTAATTTTGGCCTAATTTTGGATTAGTGTTGGTCAAGAGATGTCCGCATGTAGTCTTTGTATTTCCAAGACGACGTCGTCCGATATGCTTGTTTAGCGGTATAGTCGGCGAATTCATTTCCGGTTATGTTGGCGTGTCCCGGCACCCAAATTAGTACTTATTATTTTAGGGTATTTTGCTGTCATAATATTTCTAATGGTTGTTGAGTAATGTTCGTCGTTGTATATGTTTCCTATAGAGTTAATAGCCGAAAGGATATCAGAGCATATTGCAATATTTTTGTTTTTTTTTTCTATTTATTGTGTTTATTGCTTCGAATATGGCAATAATTTCTGCGGAGTATATTGAGCTATAGCAGGAAAGGTTTGACATTTTTATAAATTCAGTTTATACGGTTATAAGGTACGTTGCATTATTGTCGACCTTAGATCCATCTGTGTAGATAAAGGGGTTGTTGTGGTATCTCTCTTTAATTTCGTTAAACTTTGTTTGATATTGAATTGGGTTCGTGTTGGTTTTGTTCAAAATATTTAGTATAGTATTTGTGGCTTTGAGTTTAGTATCCAGGCAGGTGAGTTGTGTTGGTGTGTTTTGGATATTTGTAGTTATATTGATTTCTGAGCAGAGATTTAATATTTTCCTTTTCTTATAGATTTCAGTGATATTATGGAGGGGGTCGCTTTTGTTGACAGATGTCGGCGGCTACTTGTATACAGTTGATTCTAAGTTAAGCGACAGGGTAGGTAGCGCGATTCACTTCATTCAACTCTCACTAAACCCTGGTTTTCGTTTACCTTACCACTTTGGCGTTCTTCAGGCAAAACTGAACGGAATAAAAGTGGCCGCCCTGTGGCTGATAGCATCCGCTCCTTCACAGCGCCATAGTATTAACAATTTATTCGGAAAGACAGGCTGCTTTTAAATCTGTAAAATCTAACGGAATAACATACTAGGCAGCCATTAAGTGTAGAGGGGCTCTCAACCAGCTGGCATCAAAATGATTATTAACCGTTGGGTGGGTCCTAGAACACAAGGACGTCCCTGCTCGTATGGCCTACGAGCTGGAAAAAAATTGACAGAAATTTTCGGCGTGAATTCGGCCCGGGAAGTGGTCATACTGTTAACCTCCTACAAACACAAATAGAATATTCCCTTCATTAAGGAGGTAAACACCCGGTGAATCGCGGAACCTATCTGTCAGACTACAGAGCACATCTCTCCCAAAGTTGATGAAAAGCGATTGAAGGCCTTCATACGTCTCGGCTGTTCCGATTTTTTGTGTAACTGCATTTAGAAAGTACATACTTTATAGATTCTTTAGCTGATTTAAATTCAGGGAATATTCTCGATTTTCTGCGCTGACACGCACGTTTTTTTCAGATCAGAGATGATCACCTCAAAGATGTCCGTACCAAACTTTTTGAAGATTCGAATACATACATTTATGAATATCTACACAAATGTAACTAAGTATAAGAATCTTATGAAAGCTCTACGCGCAGGCAAGGCGCTGCCCATCAGCATTTTATGGACATAGATGGACAATGAAGCCTTTTCTGGCCAATAATGGCTTAAAAAATTGCATCATCTAACTCGATCGAGCGTCAAGTACGTAGGTATGTTACGAAGACAAACACTGAGCTCTGCTCGATAAGGAAAAGCAAATGCAAGGAAAAAGTTCTACAGAACGACATTCAGGCATCAATTGGAAATTCTAATTTCCTGGAGCTTTTATGTTAACCCATTTGCATTTGTTGAAATTTAAAAAAAAAAAAATATATCCGTATAATATAAAATCCACTTATCTAAAACCTATTCTACAAACCTAATCGATTACTAAAATCAATCACCCCTTTCATGACAGTAGAAAGCTAAAACATGTGCATTATGCATAATTTTAAATTAACCGGAAGGGTCTGCAATACTAGAAACCACATAAAAAAATATAAATAAGACCTGCACGGCAGTCGATGCATAGGAAAAAATTCCAATATCCGTTAGAAGGTTGAGAAAAGCATAGGCAATACATACAAGTACACCACAACAAACGGACGCAGGACGGAGTTTGCCTATTGAACGGCACCTGATCGAAAGCATTCAAGCGTATAAAAGGTGCACGTCCAACGCTCAGAAGTTGTTGTACAAACGACTAGGCGTCACGTGCCGTTTGCACGCATACATTTATAAAATATTCCTGCATTTCATACATATAAAGGAATCTCACCAAGACCCACCCTCTGAATTAGTAGT